ATACTTCACTGCCTCGATTACTGTAGCTGTGTTTTGAAATCAGGAAGCGTGAGTCCTCTACGTTCTTCCAAGTGCACCGGAACTTTTGGCATCAGATACGGTGACAGGTGTGAATGAACAATACAACATGGGGATTTGGGCCCATCCTCAAGGCTTCATGTCAGGAACATAGGCTCCAAGTTCAATACCTGCCTTAGATGGATTCCCGCCCTCTGAGCCGACAGCTCTTCTCGATAAATCAACGGAAACATTCTGTGGAGAACAATGATCCCCTTGGGTTATTTTAAACATCGCTTTATGTCTTCTCCCCCACCTGCTCTGCTCTCTAATTGCTCCTTCTGAAACAGTGTCATTCACCACTGGATTATTAATGAACTAAGAGGGAGCCGGGGAGGGGGAGGTGAATGAGGGAGGGGGCTTTCAGAGGACTTGAGGGGCCCCAGGGCCTGGAACAAGCCCAGCCCTGAGTTTTTCACCTTCCCCAAGGAAGGTTACTGAGTTGCCTTAGCCAACAGGAAATCCCTAAACTCAGGTTCTACCCGCCACCGCAAAAGGACATTGCTAGTGTGATGGCCAAGAGGAATTCTTCCTTCAAACTGGATTGCTGGGACGTGAAAAACTGCGCATCACCCCAAAACTCCCCAAACTTAAACCTTGTCTGCACCATCACTGACTGGCCCTGGGCTGCCTGGGGCTCTAAGCTGAAGCGGAGAAAGCTCAGGAAACAAGGCCCTTTGTGGACAAGAGAATTCTATTGTTCTAAAGCCAGTGTTCAGGGAGTGTGGATTCCAGAGAATGTTTTGGTATGGGTTTTTTCCCTTTGTTAACTTTCTCTTCTCTTCCTGGGGGGTGGGGTGGGGAGTAGGGCCCTCTCAACAGCGACGTAAAAATAGTTAGATCCTGTAAAAAAAAAAAAAAAAAAAAAAAAAAGATGGTGTTCAGAGTGCTGAGGCCTTCAGCCCCGGAAAGAGGCTCGAATTCGATGATCGAAACCACCTCGGCGTGTTTTGCTTTTCGTTTTTTCATTTTTACCGCTAGATCTCCGGAGGGCAGCCCCTTTCTGGAGGCTGCACACCTCAGACAGTGACGAACGTCAGCGGAGGTACGACCACTTCCTTCCTCCTTCGCTTAGCCTCCTTTCTTTACACAAAGAGGAAATGATGAGAGTCCGTGTCGCAGGCCACAACCCCCAAGCCCCCACCGATCTTTCCTCACCCCCCACCCCCGCCCTGTCTGGGGAACCTGCCCCCACAAACCTGTCCCCAGGGCAAGGCCTAGTTGGGCTTCTTGAGGTCCCGGAAAGGCTTCAGACTCAGGCTGCGCAGGCCTTCGAGGTAGGAGACCTGGGTTTCTGGCACTGGTACTGATTCTGTATGACCTCGGGCAGGTTACTGCTTCCCTCTGGGCTTCATGATGCCCTTCCACGAAATGGGAGCAGGAATGCAGTCCTGGGCTTCCCCCTTTCCGCGTTTGGTGATGGTGAGGAGAGGGCGTGGAAAGGGGGGAAGACTGTAGGACTACTGTTCCGAAGCCTGGCAACGTCCATGGCCCTCGACTTCCGCTGCTCAGTGGAGGGGCCCGCACCCCCAGGGTGCCGGGACCCTTCTGCGAGCTCCCAGGGCGGCGGGAGGAGCTGGGTGAGCGTGCCCACCCACTTCCCCGGAGCTCAGGCCCCGCCTAGGGGGAGGAGCCGAGGGGCGGCGCGGAGGCTGGCGGCCGGGCTCAGCCAGCTTCTGTCGCCGCACGGGCAGCTGCGGCTCGGGGACCGACTGACAGAACCAGGGCCGGAGCCGCTCGGGGCCGGGCTAGGGAGAGCGGGTGAGTTCCCCGGCGACGCCGCCCCTCCCTGGCTGGAGCCGGCGGGGATGAGGATCGCGGCGGGGAGGTGGTCCCAGCCGCGGAAGGTCTGGTTGGGGGTGTGTGGGGCGCGTGGGCCAAGGGCCGGCGGCTGGAGGTAATTGGGGGAGGGGGCGCTGGAACGGCGGGTGCGGGGAGCGCAGGCCGGGGAGTCGGGCTGGGGTGGGGGCGTTCTCCGGGTCTGGCGCGCCTACGACGAGGCTGGGGTAGGGGGCGCATCGGCAGGCTGTTGGCCGGGGCCACCGGGGCCCGCTCTTGGGGCAGCCTGTGGGATTTCGGCTGCTTCTGCAGGGGGTGGCAGTGCCGCGAAGCGGGAGCCACAACCAGCATCAAACGGCCGGGGCGCCCATCCTCGGGGCCCGCCGTGGGGGCGCCGCCCCCTCGCGTGGCGGCGCCAGATCCCCGCAGGGAGCGCTTCTGCCCGGGCGGGAAAGGTCCCCAGGGCGGGCGCCCCCGCGTGCGGACCCGCCCCGCTGCTGGCTCCAGCTGACAGCGCCCGCCGGCCCCGGGAGACCCCGCGCGCTTCTTCCCCGCGGGAGGTGCTCCCGGCCTCTCCAAAGGGCCGCCGTGCGCGGGCTGCCGGGTCCCCGCGCCAGGAGCGCGCCTCTCCTCCCGAGTCCCGCGCCCGACTCCGGCCCGAGGAGCGCCCCCGAGAGCCTGGGATGGGCAGAACCCGTGCAACCCGCCCCAAAGAGGTCGCGCGGAGGGGTCTGCCCAAGGTCACCCGGAGCGCCCAGGCTGAGCTGCCCAGACCGCCCGAGTGGAACGCAGGGAGGGGGAGGCGCCCGCTGCCAGCCTCCTTTCCCTGATGCAGACTCCCTCCCTCCCTCCTCCTCCCCCAGTCTGGACCCGGCTCCTCGGGAGCCGCTGCTGATGCAGCTCCCAGCCCCGAGCGGATGATTGAGCCGAGGCGAGCTTTGAATCCGGTGTTCCCGGGAGGGCCGCGCTCAAAGCCTGGGACCCGGGACTCCCGGGCACTCGGGAGCGGGGAGAGAGGTGGCTGCATAAGCGCTTCTCAGAACCGAAAGCCGAGCTGCTTGCGCGCCCATGTGATTGGATTCCACATAATGGGCCCCTGTTCTCGCTGTCAGAAGCGCTCACCAGCTCCCCGCGGCCGCGGGCACCAGGTGCCGCCTCTGAATCGCCCTCTGTGGAGGACCCAGGGCCCCGAGGTACCAGGCTCCCTTTCCCGCAGGGCTGTCTCTGGAAGGGGCCTGTCATTAGCCGCCTGAGCCCACGGGGTACTTTCCTGAGTGCCCTGCCATTTCCTGCGGCTGGTGAAACAGCGAGGGGGAAAACCCTCCATCTGGGAGGCTTCCCCCTAGGTTGGTAATAAAGCTTCTTAGCTCAGCCAGTGACTGGCGCTGGGCTGGAAGGCAAGGCACTTGGCCTCCAGGAGCCTCAGTTGCCTCTAAGACAATGGGGCTAATACTCAGGCCGTGGGCAGGGGTGGCGAGGGGACCCATGTGAAGTGCTTGGTGCAGTGGAGCGGGTGGGGAGGAATGCTCTTAGGTAAATACTGGCGCCCTTCCTAGTGGTTTTGAGTGGGGTGTGTCTCTTTTAGGCAGGAGCAGCCCGTGGAGTCCTGGAGGGTGGTTCTGCAGGGGCCGGGGGAGTTTCCACATCTTCCCCCAGCTTGGTCACAAAGCTCCAGCCTGCAGGCGGCTTGTGGGCCCTGGTGAGCGAGTCCTTTCAGCTCGCCGCCTGCTCACAGAGCCATCCCACACAGATTTCCCCGGCCCCTTCTCTCCCCCCTGCCAGCAAGATGCTGGAGACAAGATGTCACCCAGGCCACTCTGGACGTTCGACTTTGAACCCTCTGGTCAACTGGAGCGTACCCAACAGTGTCGCCCACCCTGAAACCTTCCTGACCCGTTTCCTGGTCCCAGCCTCTGCAGTGGCTCCTTCAGGAAGACCAGTTGACCCTCCCTGTCCCTCTGTCAACCTCCTCCCACTGGGACATTCACCTGCACATTCTCTGGTTAGCGTGCGGAGGCTCCTTGCCTCCTGGAAGGACACGCGGGCAAGGCCAACGTATGCTCAGACTTCATTCCGGTCACTGGTGCCGGAGGGAAGGTTAAATCCTAATCTAGCCGCTAAGTCTATTTGGGAGCCTGAGGGACAGGGGGAAGGGGATGCTGACACAGGAAGGTGGGATTTTCCCCAAGGCCAGAACCTTTCGGCTGAGCCCATTTGGACTCATTGGAAACTAGGGCCTCAGTTTCTTTTCAAAACCAGTCCCATCCCCAGAGGGACCTTTCTTTGGCCAACAGAGGTTGCAGCTAGCCTGGTTTTGCACATGGGGGAAGGCACATTCCTGGATTCCTGTGCCGTACTTGGACCCTCAAGAACCCCACCCAACCTTGCTGCTTTCCCCCAACTAGCTGCCCCAGCCTGCACCCTGCCTGCACCTCGGACCTGAACCATTTGGCGTATAGTGGGTCCCACAGGGCATTCTGCCAGCAGAGATCAGGACAAACCTTCTTTAGCCCGAGCACATCTTAGAGGCTGGGCTCAGGGAGGGCTTGGACCAGCCTGCCTCCTGCAGAAAGCTACAAAGTTTGCAGACCACGAGCACTGGGCAGGTTTAGTTCAAATGATAGCTCGGTACTTAAAAGCTGTGTGATGACAGGTAAATTACTGCTCTCTCTGAGTCCTGGTTTTCTCATCCGTAACATGGGAGCAAATAGTACTGCCTACTTCGTGGGGTTGTGAGGATTCTGTGAGATAATAATGCACAGAAAGTGCTTAGTGCAGCACCTGGTGTGGGCAGGAATGCAGGAAATGATTATCGTCACCATCACCACCATTTCCTCCTCTGCCTTGGGCTGTCAAAGGTCCCACCGCCTCCAGTCTGGGGGAGTCAGACCTCTTCTGCCTCTAGCTCTCAGGACAGGGAAAGCCTCTTGGCTGGGGAGGCCTGACTCCTGGGAACTGGAGTCCAGCGTGGGCCTGTCCCCAGGAAGTCTGTGAGTTAGCCTCTCACATCTGGCTGCCATTTTCCAGGATTTGTGGGTTCATTCTATAGATGTTTACTCCATTGTAGACCTTGTGCTTAGCGAGGGATTTCAAGATGAATCAAGCAGCAATCAGGGCTCCCCTCTGCGGGGGAGACGCAGGCCTGGAAACAGATAGCGAGGACACCGTGGGATAACAGCTTCACTGGTGAGAAGGGGAGGGGAGAGCCGAGCGGCGGGTGGCCGGGTGGCCGGGGCTAACCAACCCAGGTTTCCCTCCTGAAGCTGCCACCTTGCTGCTGGCTGGTGATGGACAGATGCCTGGGTAAGAAACTCAGCGCAGGGCCTTTTAGATATTAATCAGAGCTTTGCACATGTTAGTTGCCATTATTACTAGTCTGTGATGACCGATGACAGGTGGGCAAGCTGCTGTGAGAGCGCGTCGCGGGCCTTCAGAGACAGTTTTGCAGGTGGCGGGTACTAGAGGGGCGGGCAGGCTGAGCAGAGGGAGCGGCTTGCGCAACAGCACAGGGGCTTGAAAGCGCTTGGTGTCTCTGAGAGCAGTGGGCAGAGGCCGCGGCTGGAGTGCCATCACCATAGGGCGTGACGGACGCTGGGGCGGCAGGCGAGACCAGGGAGGTGGGCAGAGGCCATCCTTCCGAGGGGTCCCAAATGATTAAACACTCGCTGACCCGAAGCAGGCACCCTGCGGCCTGTGGAGGGCTGTCCGGTTGCACACCCAAGAAAGTCTAGGATTAACTTCTGCACGGGAGGGAGGGCTGGCCCCGGGCTCATCGGCCAGTATGTTAGCTGTCCCTTCCTCTTCCTTCTACTAGGAAAGCACGGAGATCCCCTCCTTCTTCCCGAGATGCTTTTCCTACTTCTTCATCTGTTTCTCTCTTCCTGGGACTCAGTAGCTCATTTGAAGGAAGGGGATGTACGTGGAGGAAGTGCCGTGATCTGGCTCCTTATTGATTATAACATTGTACCAAGTGCCGGTACGCTTCCTGGAGGCTGGTCACTGTCCAAGGTCTTTGCTTGCATTGCCATGGAATGCTCATACCGACTGACTTGAAGTGGATGCATTTATCCCTGTTGTACAGAAGGGGACACTGAGGCACCAAGGGTGAGGCGATTTGCTAAGGGGCCTGGGGCTCCTAAGTGGCGGGAACTCATGTCGGGGGTCTCCAAAGCTTCCACGTGCTGTCCCGTACCACTTCACTCATGCTCCTTGTAAATCGCTAAATGTCTCACTCATGCAGAACGTCTGGTTTCTTCCACTGTGTACCCTTGGATGCTGGGCAGTAGGCACCTTGGAGATGGGTCACGGTGGGGGGTGCTCTGGCTTCCTGGACACTGCTTCATTCTCTCCCTGCCCTGATTTTTGGGGAGGCCCCGTGGGCAGGCATTTGGCAAAGGGGAGGAGGTGTTCTTGGCTGTCTCGGAATTCAGGGCCGCATCCCTTGGCCCGTAGGGTCCCACAAATGTGCCTTGAGGCAGGCAGTTTGTAACCTCATTGATGTGGCAGGTGGTGGTTGAGTTCTACCGGGACCTCCTAGGAAGGAATGAGTCTTTTAGGAGGGCTAGTCAGCATGTCGAGTG